TTTCATGTCACCCCAGTATCATCCAAAAGAAAATATATCTCTCTTTGGTGATATCTTGTTTGTTGGTTTCCTCCAAATATTTTTATATAACTGAGTTCGAACATTTAGGTTAAATGCATTTTGTAGATTTGAGGCAATTTTGTCCGCGATTTCCAGTATCTCAAAATAGAGGATGTTACGCACTTCTATCCGTAGGGAGGAATTAATCTCCTATAAAGATCTATGGCTCGTTCCAAAACAGTCCATAACAAGACGATACCAAATGATGAAACAATAATAAAGAATACGACACTCAAAACATTGTTAATGGCAATTAATACGTTTTTATTAAGTTACTAATAAATTATCAAATAAAAGAGATATCATTAAAATCATTATCGTACAGAAACTTACAGAGTATTGTGTTTCTTGTACCGGTACAAAAGTGGTTGAAAACTACAATGTGCCAAACAAAGGTACAACGATGAAAGGAATTCACACATATAAGAAAAACTACCTCTATCAAGAATAACACGCTCTAAAAATAAATGCTTGCCTGTCGTCCCGTAAAGAAAAAATCTTATCCTCCAAAAATAATGCTTTCTATGCTTTTTAAAGTCTGTTCTACAGAAAATTCCAGACGTATTACGCATTGTATTAGTGACTCGAAGATTCTACAATGTACTACCATTTTCTACCGTATTCGATTCAAGAAAACAGGCGATAGATTGGTTTGTGGTAAACAAGATCAAAGGGAATAAGCCACGCCCAATACTATCGCAGCGTCTGCTAGAGTTCACAGCACGGGGGAAATTTGACATGATAACCTCGTCTATATTCTACATAACAGATGGTTAAGTACAAAATAATTATGCTTTTTGTCTTTTAATCTTTTTCATTTCGTCAATTTTTCCCGAAAATGCCGCCAACTACTATAAAGAGCAAAACGTGTAGTCAGGGGCGGACAGCCTTCCAGCCCCTTCCTACGCCTATGTACACCAGTGATAAAAACTCACATGGGGCTGTGAGATTGTCTGCTTTACCGGGCCCGACTTGACAATATGGCTAAATGTAACACCCGAGCAAGGCCAAGGCGCCTTGACATTTGATAACACTGTGAAATGAATGATTTTTGTTTTTAAGGGAAATTTTTCAACAACAACAACAACAAAGGGATTGAGAAAGGCAACACAATAATGTGCATATTTTCTAAACACCTACCGCCGTCTCTAGCTTCCCAACAGTAACAACAAATACATATATACTCAACTAAGAAAAATGTGGGATGTATTTTGTATCTAAATTACCATTTGACATGGAGAAAAGCGGTTCATTCGGTTTTATGTGGGTCACACGCAGATAGCACAAAGATGGGTTCTCTAATTCTAATGTTCTGGCCTTTACAATTTTCTAAATCGAAGACGAGGTACCCATTATGCATTTCTCGTACACTTAAACAGTAATGATTAAAAAGTATGCAAATAAAAAAAAAATCAACCATTCAAGTAACAAATAAATCTATATATATATAATGAGGTCCCCATTCCTCTATAACCTATTCAAATAAAGTTAGGAAAGGAAATTGGGGCCCGGTTTCGCCCATGATTTTTTAAAACCGTTTCTTTTACACGATTTCATCTAGTGTGGGGGGTGGGGGGGGAGGTGGGAGTAAACTCTTTGATGTATTTTAAATATTTCACTACAAGCCCTACCCGCCTCTTACAACTGTGACCAAAAGGAATTGAAAGAGACTTGCAAGGTAAAACACGTTTAAAAATAAAATGGTAAAATTTAAAAGAAAAAATGGATAACCTGCTTCTAACTTAACTTTTAAATAAAATTTAATTGCTTCCAGACCTTTTAACACCCACCAACAATATAGGATACTTGATTTCCTAGAACCCGAAAGGCCCCAATGAAGAGCGAGGTCATGGGCACCTGCACGTGCACCAATGCCTTCAGACGGCACTGCCTCCTCAATCACAGGTGCACCCATGTCTTGAGACGGCACTGCCTCCTCAATAACAGGTGCACCCATGTCTTGAGACGGCACTGCCTCCTCAATCACAGATGCACCCATGTCTTGAGACGGCACTGCCTCCTCAATCACAGGTGCACCAATGCCTTCAGACGGCACTGCCTCCTCAATAACAGGTGCACCCATGTCTTGAGACGGCACTGCCTCCTCAATCACAGGTGCACCAATGCCTTGAGACGGCACTGCCTCCTCAATCACAGGTGCACCAATGCCTTGAGACGGCACTGCCTCCTCAATCGCATGTGCACCAATGCCTTGAGACGGCCCTGCCTCCTCAATCAAAGGTGCACCAATGCCTTGAGACGGCACTGCCTCCTCAATCACAGGTGCACCAATGCCTTGAGACGGCACTGCCTCCTCAATCACAGGTGCACCAATGTCTTGAGACGGCACTGCCTCCTCAATAACAGGTGCACCAATGCGTTGAGACGGCACTGCCTCCTCAATAACAGGTGCACCAATGCCTTGAGACGGCACTGCCTCCTCAATCACATACAAACTTCCTCTAGTCTTGTAGTCTTGTGTCATGTTACATCATGTATATAGACACTTTATAACACCGTTTGGTGGCTAATTTCTGAAGACCGCGCTTAGTCTTCAACCACATGCCTTAATTTCCCTCAGTCTTTTATCAATTCCACTGTGGACACCTTACATCAACAACATGTGATTGCTATTTTCGTAAGTTATTTTCTATATGCCTAACAAAGCCACGAAGAGAGTTCCTACTTTTACCAGGAATGCCCTAGATGCTATATTTGAAGCAGGCCATGGCTTTCCAGATATGAAAGATATATTTATAAGATTTGAGCCAAGAAATGGCAAACAGGCCTCACAATGGTTTCTAAAACACATAGCGTAGTCATTTAAATAAAAGGGAGACTATAACACAAATATTGGCAAAAGTAGCATCATTTTAAAGAAAAGAGTTATCCTCAACGAAAAGCAATATTTAATTAAATAATTTGTTCGTACTTAACATTAACAACATAACATTAACTTTTAACACAACATAATGACTAAAACAAAGTGGGTTTTGTTTTTCATTATCTTATCGCAATTTTATTTAACTGAGAAAAAATCTAATATGGCTAAGGTTTTTTTTTGTGTTCATTTTTTTGTTGTTGTTAAAACCTAAACAATACACACTTTTTAGAACTGATATACATGTTCAGAAATATATCAAGTTAAGAAAACTTTGAAGTTCATTCTATGATGCGTCATATCGTTGTTTTCACTGTTACGAAAACCGTATTTCGAGCCTGTCGTTCAAGCAAAGGTCGAAAGGCTTAAAGTGATAAACAGCTTCTCTTACCTTCTCTTCTCATTGCCGAAAAGCGAAGAGATTGAGGTTTACCTTCATATTACAAGAGTCAATGCAAATTAAGGAAAAGTAGAGGCGGTTCTCAATCTAAAAAAAAATAATATACAAATCGTCTGTGCACCCCATGCTTGGCTGTGCCCATGGGAAGTAGATAGGGTTAGCAAAGCTGTGCAAGAAATTCGAACCACTTTCAAAAGACAAACCTACAAAATTATCAACATGAAATGACAGGATAGGATCCACGATAATCAAGAGGTTCCAAAAGCCAGTTCTTACCAGCATATTTCTGCAGTCCCAGCTTCACTGGTAATAACCAGTTGTGAGATTGTCAGATTACTGCAAGCTCCCCCCACCCCCCAATATCTATATTGTCTTTTCACTTTACAGAAAGAATTAATACAACATGAACAGAAAAGGTTCTCCAAAAATTAAGCGTTGTAACGGCGAAATTTCAAAGACAGGCGCGTATTGTTAAAAATCTTTCTTTGTTAGGTGTAAATGTAAATATATCAAGCGTTTGACCGGGGGGGGGGGGGGGGGGTGATGACTAGATTGGCTCGTCCCTGGCTAAGAAACTGATTATATTAATCACTTGCGCAATTTTTGTTCAGAACAGTTCACGTTTATACTACATACTAGCCAATATATGAGCCTATGCTCACTTAAAGAATACATATAGTCAAAACACTTGGCTAAAGTAACTATCAAAATTTACACTTGTCCCATTAAAGAACAGATTTTTTTTATAATTCTTGTCAACATTGTTTTTAAACACATTGAGCACACATTTAAATCTAAGGGAGACCATACCACAACTATTCGAAAACTAGTATCATTTGGAAAAATAAGGGTTATCCTCCATGAAAAGAAAAAGTGAGGCATTACCTCAATTGTTACTCCAACATATTTGACAATGGGGGACGTTTTAGCTTTATTCAAAGGAGCCCCCCACCACCACCCCCCCCCCCCAAATATTATTTCTATCTGATTTAATAGTATAGACATCACATAATCAGAATGCCATATCATTGTATTTGTATTAAATATGTAATTTAAATGTGTAAAAGAAGAAAAAAAAGGCGACCCGGGGGGGGGGGTGTGATGCCAAGTTCAGACTATTTCAGGGGCGTAAACCAGTTTGGTACACTCATCCATTCCCCACGACATTTGAAATCGTAAGGAAATATAGAGGTTTTAATTTTCTTACTTAACCAAAACATAACTGGAACCATATATCATTGTTCTAATAGTGATTCATAGGTGAAATGTACGCTATGTCCGGAGTGGGCCAACTTGCCCTCAATGGACACATGGCGAATGAAGCTCCAGTGTGTAACAAATTAATTCTAGCTCAAAAAGGTGGGTTTTTATTCGTTGTTTTCTTTTTAAAGTAAATGTGTACAATAAGCAAATGTTTCTCAAATGGTGGTCCGTGGACCGATGCCAGTCCGCGTGCTTTTCGTTACCGCTGCGCACAACATAAATATTTATTATATGGTTGAATTTTTAAAAAAAAAAGGTAATTAATAAATCTGTTACCGGTTCCAGATGCCAATTGTACTTTTCATTTTTTTTTATTTTTTTTGTGTCTAATTCTATGCCCAAGAAATATTGGAAATTCTCGTTTCTAAATTTAGGTTTAGAAAGCAATTGTTCCACTTTATGCTCTAAGGATTCATTCATGGAGAAAGTAGGTAAGACCTTTTGTCGGTATGTGAAAGGCGTTTAGCAGTTCATTTTCAAGCCAATCATTACCTTTGGCTAAAATTGACATAATGTATACATTCCCTATACATAGAGGGACCAATTTCTTTTGAAATTGTAAATTTTACATATTACTAGAATATTCTTTGTCCATATTGTTTATTGGTTTCTATTTGAAGCGGAAATTCCCAGAGTTGTCCTTTATTGGCGTCTCATTATTAATTAATACTATTTAACAAATTATGAGAATTTAAGCATAAATATATCATTGAAGCGATAACGATACACTAAAAGTCAATGTTTGTTTCAAAGTAAGTGAAAGCGTAAGATTTTATTTCGAAATTCTGAAAATAAATTTGTCCATCCTTTTGGTCAAGCATAGTTCGTGGAAAAGTCACTTAGTCAAGTGTAGTTCATGGAAAAGTGGGTGTAAAAAGCCTTTGGGATTGATAATAGCTATTAAAATAAAACACTCAGGGCTGTTAAAGATGTGAAAAAGATCCTTTTTCAAATAAAAAGAACTCCGGTTTAAACAATGTTCGGATAATATTGTAGAAAAGCGAGATAAAAGTTCGATTAAATTTTTAGATGATATCAATATCAACCAAATTAAGGGCGCCAAAATGTGCTTTGATATTATTTTATTTATGGATATAATGGTTTTGAGAGTTGAAAAAAGAAGTGGCGGGGGGAGTGGTGGATGCTTTAAAATGAATCCTGTCCCCGGGGTTGACTCTTGTCCCTGGGCGCCAAACACTCTAGCTACGCCTCTGAAATTCCGTTAATGTACAAGATCTTTACAGGATTACATGGATTAAAAATTTGTTGTAAATGTAAAGCCATTTTAAAAAAAAATTAAGAGACTAAAATTGTAACACTGGTTCCGAAAAGGTGTGAGGCCATCCTATATTATATAGCAGATTAATATTTCTCCAAACTGAATGATGTTACAAGCGCAGACATCACTAAATAGATACGGTACATCTTTTTAAAATAAGAAGAGTCTGATTAACTGCTTCCTAAATATAAATTTCAAGGACGTCGTAAAATATTGTAGTGGGTTTTTGTTTCTGTTTGTTATTGTTTATATGAATATACAAAACATCTAGCCTGAAATCAGTTGTATACGTAAACATTGGATGTTAAGACTTCGCAATAGCAGCAAGAAAGTATCTCAAAATGCCTTCCATTATTTTCACGGTAATATCGGGTCATATCTTCTCGTAGGTTACAGAGTATTTTAATTTTTGTCCTAAATCGCGCTTTGAAAATATATGAGGCGTAGTAGGAGTTGGATGAGAAAGGTTGGGGGAAAGGGGGGGGGGGAGGGCGATGGTCCCTACTCGGTGACATTTTTTTTTTCTTTATATGCGAGAGGGCATTTTCGGTCAATTGCAAAGTTGATGTTTTTTTTTCCTGGGAAAGGGGGGGGGGGGGGGTAGAGGATGAGGCACGACAAAGATTTATTTTAAATTACTCGTGTTTAATGAATCCATTTATAAATGAACGCATTTAAATTTAAGAATCTATATTTTAGAAAAACCAAGTCAAGAAAAATGAAGAGGAGCAGATGTTTACATAGAGTGGCTAAAACATCAGATCAAGATGATTCTCTTCTGATGGCAGCCGAGAAAGGATGCACAAGTGTTGTGAATTTACTCCTTGATAAGGGAGCCGATGCGAATGCGGTTAATATCAGAAACGGAAAAACAGCTCTGATGTTGGCCTCAGAATATGGCCACGCAGATGTCTGTCTTACGCTCATTGAAAGAGGGGCAAAATTAAATGACCATCACAGGGATGGTACTGCTCTGATGTTAGCCGCATCCAGTGGGCATACAAAAGCTGTGGAAATATTAATGAAAAATGGGGCCAACTTATACGAGTTCGATAGAAATGGAATGACAGCTTTAATGTTGGCTTCATTCAATGGCCACACAGACACCGCTGAACTGCTAATAGACGTGGGGGGAAATGTAAATGAGAAAGAAAAATCAACTTCGGAACGGACTGCGTTAATGATGGCCTTATCGAATGGACATGCCAAAACTGCCAGCTTGCTGGTGGATAAAGGAGCAAATTTGAATGACCGAGACAAACTTGGATTCAATGCTTTAATGGTTGCGATACAGACGAAGAGTGTCGCCAACGTTAAAATGCTAATAGAGAAAGGTGCACCGGTCACTATGAAAGAAAATGGAACCCTGCGTTGCGCAGCAGAGTATGATTGTACGGAGATCACCGAACTCCTGCTGGAAAATGAAACATTTTTAAACGAGAGAGATGAACACGGCTACACCGCATTGATCGTTGCCGCGGCGTACAAGAGCACGCGAGCTTCGGAAATATTGATAGAAAAGGGATTAAACGTCAACGAGAAGGATAATGAAGGAAAGACAGGGATCATGTATGCCGCCGGGTTGGGGAGATTCTTGCTCCTGAAACACGGAGCAAATTTAAATGAGAAGGACAATATTGGAACAACAGCTCTGATGCTGGCATCTCGCAATGGGTACACGGATGTTGTAGCCGTGCTACTTGAAAACGGGGCTAGAGTAAACGAACGGACGAAAGAAGGGCGTACAGCCCTGATGGAAGCTTCGAAACTAGGGCGCACTGGCATAGTTACGATGTTGATAAATGGAGGCGCGGACGTCAATGCAAAAGACGATAATGAAATGACCGCTTTAATGCTCGCCGCAGCCGAAGGGAACACAAAAACCGCCAGGGTTCTAATAGACAACAGAGCTAGTCTAGAAGACAAAGGACGTGATGGATCGACAGCTCTTGTTTTGGCCGTGCTAAATAAACACCGAGAAACCATTGACTTGCTTATCGAAGCAGGTGACAATACTCTTGAAGATATAAATGCTGAAAATGCGCCGGCCTGTGCCCAGGGTGATTCTAAACCACTGGTTACCGGAGATGTAAGGCAAGTCGCTCTCAAAACGTTTAATCGAACTTCTGATTCGTGGGAGGGACAGGAGCTACCATCTTCACGTCCCACTGAGGGCTGTTCTAGGACACCAGTCGATGGACAAGTTGAGAGAGAGTCGCCTGAGGCACCCGTGCCAATGACTAGCTGTCACGGATCATCAGATGAAGTGACGTGAGTTTTTGGAAATCCTTATGTGTGTGTGTGTGTGTGTGTGTGTACGGTAGCGTGAGCGTTTTGATTAACGGTTGTGTACAGGCTGTGTCGGGTTAAACTGAAGGCAAATGAAACAACGTGCCTGGGGGCCCCGCGCCTTTTAGGGGCCCCGCGCCTTTTTATGTATAGTAATAATGAATTAGGGAGAGAAAATAAAAAGTGGGGGAAACAAACAGAGCTCTAAGTACATTTTCGGGGCCTCCTTGCACTTTTCAGTTTTGTGCCCACTGCAATAATATTTTACAGTCTATAGGTTCTTCTTCTTCTATATCTTAAGGGTCCACGATGAATTTATTGATCATTTTGGCTCCTGTGCATGTAGATAGGATTTGCAATGTTTCTGTTCCTGGTGTTGATGAGGAAATTTCAATGACTTCCAGTGCCACTTTGTGAGGGTATCATGCACTAGGGGTTTGAATGCTTTGAGCCCCTTAAATATACACTTATAATATATATATAAATATTTATGAAGAGTCGATTTTCAAAATGCTGTCTGTGTCTCCATTTTTGGCGTTTTGAGATGATAGACTTTTTCTGCTACACAATGATGGCTGAAATTTTCGGAAAAAGTAAATATTAATTTTGCTATATATTAAAATATAATTTAGATTATGATGAAAATTGAAATGTAGATCAAAATGGATCTACAGCATTTTGTCGCTAAGTTACAGCTGGATGCGCAGCATTTTGAAACGGAATAAGAAATTCAATTAAGTAAATAAATACATTTTAATTAACATTATTCTCAGCAGCAAATAACTCAAGTTGTTTATATATAAAAAAAACCCACTTACATAACAAATACAATTAAACTGTAACATATACATTATATAATTGTGTATGATTAATGGTTTATATTGATATATATTATTTTAACAGAACAGCATTATAAATGCTGGAAAGTCGCTTGTAACAGTGTACTGTTTAGAGTGCTATACGTTTTCATAATTTGTTTTAATAGATTTGAATTCTAAACAAAAGTAAACAAGATAATGTTCAATTCACAAATCATTTTATTTTAATTTAGAACAACGACACAATAGAAAATAATGAAGTGTCTGATTCAGAGTGTGCATCATCTTCAATAGCAGTTTGTTTTTTTTTTTTCCAGGAAAAGTTGATGCTTCTTATTTACATTCAAATCAGAGGGCAAATATTTCTGTCCTTGAGCACCCTTTTCTCCTGACATGGCTGGATCTGCATGTAAAAGATTGAATGTGTAATAAATAACACAGCTAACTCTGTAAAACACCTTATTAGTTTCATTTCCTGAACACTTCTGCTGTGTAGTAGCCATAACCATAATAATAATGTAAAATGAAATGTAGTGGTTTTTTAAATAAAGTTACCGGTAACTCACCTTGCAGAACCATTTATCGCGATTACACGTCACCGAGGGGATCTTTCCTCCGCTTGAAGGACGGAATGATTTGTCTTTTTCTCGTCTTCAGCTTTTCTTTTCTTTCTTTTTCGAGATTTTATAGTACCAAAGACTCTTTCATCCAGGCCGTCGTTATGCACCGTGTTTGTCGTTGTTTTGCGTCGTGATGTTTAGTTTAGTGTGCGTGCCCAGAATGCCTCAGAATAGCTTGCCAATCACACGGATTGGTCCGAAAATATCTACAGCATTTTGATAATATAAAAAAAAATTTCACACCGCGTTTTGAAAATAAAATAATTTTTAGACATAGGATAATATAGGATTAAAATGTGTTTTGTAGATAAACTTTAACATGTCCTAAAGGAGCATGGTTTCCTCTACAAGAATATACAGTTATCTCATTTTTTTTCAAAAATTTCGGAAATCGCGTTTTAAATAATCGACTCTTCATATATATATAGATCTATATATATATAGAGAGATAATAAATATATATTTATATGTGTGTGTGTGAGTGTGTGTTTGTGTGTGTGCATGTGTGCATGCTTATGCGTGGGTGTGTGCATGAGTGTGTGTATTAAGAGTGTATATGTGTAAAGCTTTCATTTCTAAAATGAGGGTTCTCGTTTCAAAAATTTCAAGAGTACCCTTTTTTCGGGTGTTGATTGAAAGAAAAAACCAACCTAGGTAGAGATTGCACAAGGGGTTTCAAAAGATCCAAACATTCAGATGGAAAACTGGCGTTTACAAGCATGTATGTACTTTTTAAAACTAAATTATACGTATATTATATATATATATATATGTGTGTGTATATATATATATATATATATATATTATATATATATATATATGTTTATATATACCACACCTGCTACTTCAAAAAAGTGTCACAAATGTATTCCTTTTTCTTCAGTTGCATTTCTCATACCTACGTCCGTGAACATGGGTTCTATGCGGTGCATCTGAATTCATATACATTAGGTGGCATTTGTCACTTCTGTATCAATCTTTATTAGTGGTGTTTATCACACCTAAATCTGTTTAAATCACTATTAGTGGCATATGTCACACTCAGATCAACAAGAAGTGGCCTAGTGGCTACCTAGATCAATAACAAGTAGTGGCTTTTGTCACACCCATATGACACACTATTGTTGACAAATGGCTAGTGCCATAGCAAAGGTTAGTGCCATCTATGGTGAGACAGTATATGTTCGTCTCCCTTCTAAAGGACTCTGCAATTGGCCCACAAACATTTCGCCCTTAAATATCAAGAAAATACTGTCCACGCTGGGCTAGCTCCGCAACCCCGTTCTATGCCAGTGCATGTCTGAATAATCTTTGAATCTGTAGTATGATCCTCTGATGTAGCATGGATAGTTATGTCAACGTTGTTGCACGATATATTTTCAGCACACTCAAACCTGACGGCCTTGATTCTGATCACATCCAAGCTGCAAGCAGTAGCCATTCTATAACCCATGGACATAATACATTTCAGTAAGCATATGATCCGTTATCTACGTTTAATACCATATGTATTGTACAATACAGTGAGCATATTAACTCTTTCGATTTATATAATCTATAAGTAAAAAAATTAGCCCCTATTTATTTCATCATTAATTAGTTTATATACCGGTAATGCATATTGCTAGTTTTTTTTAAAAAACAGATGTGTATGGTGTTATTGAATCCTTCCTCTAATAGGATTTTTTAATAGAATATTTGGTTAAGATCATAATATGTATAACAATTTTAAATGTATACGTTGTAAGACAAAGGTTACTAGACAAGTTACGAAGACCCGTTAATTAGAAACATGGTAATCTTTGCCATGAAGCTTTTTTGTTACTATTTCAAAGGGTTTTTTGCTGAGCCATAGAAATAAATAGCGAGTTTCCAAAGGTACGCAGAGCAAAAATTGTTGATCGAGCACAAGCTAATGTTTTTGTACCTGAATCTGAGTAGCATTACTGTACCATCTTGTCCCTTCAAATAACATGCAGCGTACAATTCTGGTAGTTGCTCAAGATTATTTAAATGGGGTGGAGAAAACTTGCAGCACTTCCTACAGAACCTACGAATCGGCCAACGCATTATTTTTACAACGATTCTCAGCACAATTATTCAAATAGGTTGTGCTGTTGTTGTTAGTTAACGGTACCTTCATCTAATTCTTGCATATGTTCGGACATATCAGGTAAAATGTTCTGGCGTTTCGTCTCATATATCGCAAATGTGCTCCACCCAACCCTGTCATGAGAGCATTGGGCATGCATTCGTTTTATGCACGAAATTCGATGCTCACGTTTTTAGCTCGGGTTTCTTTGAGACTCACTTCTCCTGTCTCGCCCTGGGTACCGGTACTGCAGCTGTGCTTATATGGGCCGTTTACTTTTACATCAATGTAAAATGTGCCGAAGGTAGTAGACCCACGGTATATAAAGATTTTCAGATGTACCTGTCGGTGATGGTGTGGTTTTGGAAGTGTGTCCTGTATTTCCTTTATTTCTGTTGGTATCATTTAAGACGTAGTCTATTCCATATTAGATATGATGGCGAGTTGTTACGTTTTAGACTTTATAGCTCTAAAACTTAACACCTTGCCATCAGACCTGATATGGAAGCATTTAAGAACATGAGAAGACGATGACAAGAAGAGAATGTTCCAGGATGCAGCATCGATTCTTTACACTTACGAAAAGGAACTTCATTGCTCATTGAACACTATTATAAGAGTGAAAAGTTTCAGTGAGCAGTGGAAAAATTCAGTGAGCAGTGAAAAGTTTCAATGAGCAGTGAAAAGCTCGAGTGGACAGGTGAAAAGTTTCAATGAGCAGTGAAAAGCTCGAGTGGGCAGGTGAAAATTTCAGTGAGCAGTGAAATAATAATGAGCAATAAAAAAAAATTATATAGCAGCATTAAAAAAAAAAAAAGATTTATTTTCTAGATAACGCTGTGTGTAATAACATTATGATATATCAATATCACACTGCCATTGTCAACAACAGTTAAATAAAAATACTTGACATTTCTCAATTACCTCCTGATACGAGTAAAGTTATGACTAAATCAGAAATAAGTACTATTTTTGCATTGTCGCCAATCTGCTATCTTTTAAACTATGCCTTGTTAATTAAGAGCATCACTTTTTCGTTCCAGATTCATCTTCATAGATCAAGCCAAGACTTTGAATTGCCATAATTCAGCTGAAGTGAATGTTGAAAATGCAACTAATGTTGTGAACAATTAGCAGGCTTAACAGAAACATTTTGTTTTAAATCTATTTCTGGAATTAATCGCATGTAGGTACTAAATGATTAATTTTAATGTAATCTCTCCATGAACGCCTTCAAGGATATTAAAACAATAAATTCTACCTTTATGTATTCAGTATGTCGCTCTAATTACCGGTAACATTTCTTGTATTTGCATGCATATTATGTTAGGCGTTGTTCCAATTTCTAGGATCATAACACCGTGATGTCATGAAGGCAAACCTTATTCACAAGAAATAAAAATGTCTCATCTTGGTACATCATTCGAAGATAAAGATGAACCAGAATCACTTTAAGTTAAAATTAGCATTGTTGAAGTGGGATCTCCTCTTTGTTTTGCCTGCTTCCCTTCTTAGAGACGGTCATCGTTTTTACAAGGGAAATTTGTTATATTTCATGACTATGTTTTATTTCATGATAAGAAGACATTCTATTATTTCATTATCATTATAATAATTATTATTATCGTTAGATATAAGATGGCTCAAATTATAATACATTTTTTGTTTTAAAAAAAAAAAAAAGCAAATGCAATAAGTCAGTGTGATTACACCTTCGGTAATGGCAACAAATATTAAAGTAAGAAATGCAATCGAGCATTATGACGTTGCTCCTTAAACAATGGCGCCATGTAGCATTAAGCTACAAATCAGGTGCCGCAGAGCATAACAGAAACGCCCGGGTCAATATTGCACTCGAAGATTTTTTCTATTGTTTTCTTGCACCAACTGCATTAGAACATTTCGTACCAGAATCGGTCTCATCATTCATCTGTGCACCCACAGATATAATTATCCTCTGCACCAATCCGATGATTAAAATGATTATAAAATATAAATATAATATAAGCTCAAATAACACTAACTCGATCAGTGATGACGAGGCCTCAAGACCAAACCCAATGAAGTTGAAATTTTCTATGATTACTCTTATACTTATACATGTACTCAAGCATTGATAGGTTATTTCTTGTTATATTCAGCAATTAAGTGGCCTACAATGACCAAAGGCAGAAACATAATTAATAATAATTATTTGTTTCATTAATGTTATCCTTATAAAAAATATTTTAAAAATATATTTTAATAGTTTTCTTGTTAATTCACTTATTTTAAGGGGGGGAAATTTTGTTGCTACAATATTCTTTGCTACAGTGTTTTGACACTTGGAGCTTCTAGAAATCTAAATATAATATACGATAAGATTCTTTTATTGATCCGAAAAAAAATGGAAATACCTTTTTGATTACCTATGTAACCATAAACAAATTATATTATTTAAATAAAGTAAATATTTTCCAACTAAAACAATTTAAACACAAGACATCTACATTAAATTATTTCTCTAGTGTAAGAAAAACAGTCAATCAGTGAACTCCCTTAGTCCTTAGACTTAATTAGTGATCATTTAGATAGTGTGCCCTCTTGGTGGGAGCACTGTGGTAAAATCGTACAGATTGGGAACAATACCGGTTTAAAGAGACAAATACCTTGACCGAGACTGCCTGATCACGAAATATCAAGAACAACAAGCCCAATGAAGATAGAACTTTTTTTTCTTTTTTTTTTTTGCATCGTGATTCCTCTAAAACTCACCGGGGCCTCAGAATAAATGTAAGTCCGAAACATATAATAAAAGCCATTAAAATTAAAATACCCGGTAACGAAAATGCTGAGTGGTGAGCAGGGGAAAAAAACACGATACGTTTGGTTCTGCTGTCGACGTGCTTGGAGCTTGATAATTTTAATGTAACATGTTCCAGATTTACTGCTAATAAACAAAAAAAAAAAGAAAGAGGAATGGTCGTGTTTTTTTTTTTGGGGGGGGGGAGGCCTGTCACAAAAACGGTCATTTTGCTTTAGTTACCCATGCAATGGTTATTTCGACCAGTTTCGGGGTTTTTTCTAATTTATAGCTTAACAAACTAATGACAAGGAGATTGCTAAGTCATAGGCTACCCGTTGAACGTTGCTTTGGAGTGACAATCAACAAATCGCACGGATTAAATAGACTTTGCACGTCTTCTACCGCAGCCAGTTTTAAGTTGGATGCTAACGTGTCAGTTCTCCAACATCTGCTTGAAACAGTAGGCCTACAACATTGTTTTCAAACAAGAAAGTGTTTTTTTTTTTTTTTTTTTTTTTTTTTATTTTTTTTTTTTTTTCTTTTTTTTTTTCATTATAAGTTTTTTTTTTTTTTTTTTTTTTTTTTTACATTATTGTTTATTCTCGTTGTTCTGTTGCTCTTTGATTTAATTGTATTTAGATGACTTGAAAAGGGTGAGAGATTGTGTATAATAAAATTTCAAATAAAACACATGGACATTATTTTGTAAATAATAATCAATGGCCTCAAGCCCACCCCGTATTAAAATTTTTTCTAGTGCCCGGTACAAGAAATTTTAAATGCTTACTTTTTTAAAAGTATTAATAGTATTATATTATAAGTTAACACAAGTACCGAGTTGTTTTGTTTTTCACATTGGCTGTTTTACGAGCATCTGCCTGACAAAACACAGTTCAGTCGAGATTTTCTAAGCTAAAAATGATACCGTACCCCATATGAAGTGAAGGATTTATCAATTCGGTATTGTAATCAAGAATGGGGAATATTTTACTTGCAATAAATTTAAATTAAAAAAATGTATACATTTTTTGAAAAAAAATTAATCAAAACATATCTATTACTTTCATATAATACTTTTTAATTGCAACTTTATTATACGATTTGTTGGGCATTTAACCGAAATGACGGTTAAATTGTACGGTCCATTTTTTTTCTTTGTAAAGCCTAAAATTATTTTTGTTCCACTACCGGTACCGGTATTTATTAAGTTTTCTTAGAGGTGTATATAGGCTAATGTTGTTGTTTTTTTTTTTTTAAACGTTCGTTTATCCTACTCAATTATATTTAAAGGTTCAGTCCAAGCTGAGGAATTATTATTATTTGTATCCAATTTTACGGTTAACTAAAATTTATTAAAACACATAATAATTTTTATGCGCTAGGTCTGGAAGGAAGTGTAACGATCGTGAGGGGAAAAAGGGGGGGGGGGGCGCGAATCTGACCTGATGGTTTCACTTCACGGCAGTGCTCGTCAGTGTAATAACCAAGGTCCCCAGCTATTTTATATAGGACGGGGGCCACAAAAGGCAACTATCCCCCCAACCCCTTCAGCTATGCCTCGAAAAAACTGGTATACCCGGTCACTAATATAAGGTTGGCCCTCTAACGCCTTGGAAAAATTGGGAATTACCTTTTATCTAAATTTAGAATCATACATCTAAAATGACTTACTTTATTGTACCGGTACTGACAGTTTAGGTTGAAGAGTATGTCAAATCGGTCAATCTTCTCTTCGTCTTAATAGCTAATTTTTGAGCATGATATTATCAAGAACAACAGGCTAACACTCAAGTTTACCAGTATCCTAAACTGGATGGACAGGCTAAACTATTTACATATTAATAAAGCTTCACATTTATCATTAATTGTACGGTAGACTAATAATTTATCAGTAATGGCCATCCTTACATTACGTGCCGGTAATTTTTTTTTAAAAGTCAAATTTTAATTTATATAAATATAGCCCCCCCCCTCCCCGTTGAACTCTGGGCCGTACAAAAGAAAGGGGGAGGGGGGTAAGGTATGGGAGGGCTACGCATCATCTCCTTAATAACAACTCTTAGTACCGGTAAGTATGTAATTGTAATATTTGTAACTTATGTTCCTATTTTTAAATTGGAATTTCCAAAGAATTTTCACTTCCTTTTAACTTTCCAGCCATCTTTAGAATCTTTGTTCAAATGTATACGGTATTTATATAATATGATGATTTGTTGAAAAATGAAATAAAACAATAAAATCTTATAATTATAGGGGCCTAGTTGGTAAGATTAATAATTGTGCCTGCCGTTGATCGGTACAGTTAATACCTACCTACCAATAGTTGTAGCTTACCAACACGTTCTGCAGGTAAATTGTACTAGTTGTTACCGGCATCTAAATAAAGTGATTAATTTGTGAGATGATTTATTTGTATGGTTTTAAAAAGGATTGATTTTCGGGTAAGTTTATATTCAGCACACACACACACACACACACATATAAAGTAATGAGAAGATTAAAAAATTTCTAGTTTTTCAGATTGCGTGATAATTTTAAAGGCGGCTTTTACTTTTAATTTAAAATCGAGTTTTTGATAACACTATCCAGTAGTGTTCACTGTGTGACCAGAGGATCGGAAAATATGAAAATAGAAGTAAGATGCTGCAATTATGTGCCTGAAGTCTGATATCTATTCTTCAATCTTGGGTTAAAGTATTTGTTAAATGTATCAATTTATTGAGGCCTTTGTCATAATAAATAATCAAAACGTGTAAATATATTCTTACCAATTGGGGAATCCAGGGAGTTGCAATGGGGAGAGACAGTATGACTATTGTGGATTGTTAAAGTTAGAAGTAGAAGTACTAATTACTATTACTAATATGTAAGTTGAAGTGTGCAAAGATGGAAACGGGAAGAGTGTCACTGTTAAAGCTACATATGGGGTTATACTCATATACAAATAATACATACAAACTACGGAGGAGAAGAAGAAGGGGCGTGGGGCTTGATAATTTAAATGATTTTGCGTACATGTGTTCATTGGGAGGGATTTCAGAGGCGTAACTGGAGTGTTTGGCGCACGGGGACAAGATTCATTTTAAAGCGCACCGTTTCTTTTCATTAACTCTCAAAACCATTATTTTCATCAATAAAATAATATCAAAGCGCATAATGGCACACCTAACTAGTATGGCGACCACGGACAATCTGTCCCTCTCTGCTCCCCATAGCTACGCCTTTGAGGGGTTTCGGAAAAATGTGTAGTGTACAAAAATTATGCACCATTCCTGCACAAATTATTCTGGTATTCTGACTGACAGTTCATCAATTGCTTACGTACCGGGTATTTAAATATAATAATCGTAAGATAAATTATAGTTCTAATTATAATTGTAATTGTATTGTATGGCTTTTTAGTATGAATCTTTTTTCAGTTCACACGTTAAAATTTTGAGTCAAAATTCTTTTTGAAATTCTCGAGGTCAATTTTAATTTAACAAATTTAATTTATGTTTCCAATATGGGAAAGAAAAAAATACAAAAACTCAATAATTTTATATTACCTTACATCTAATATGCGCTTTTTAAGCGAAACCAAAACAAGAAATATATTATAGGCCTATATACATACACATACAGTCGTCCCTCGTTTATCACGGCTTATCAGTTCCAGACTAACATAATGAATGAATATCCACGAAATAGTGCCCTTTACTAATATTTATACATTGAATATGTTCGTAGTTAGTGCATAGAAAATTTGTTTATAGCCCTCTAATACAGCTTGTAACATTATATAGGACTCTCTGGGATGCTCAAATACATAGTCCCACAGTCCATACCCACAGTAATTTTAATTGTAATACATGGGCGTATAATCAAATCAGACAACCGAGTGAGTGAGGACCCCCCCCCCTCCCACCGTATCATATTTTTTTTCCACTACCTCCATCAATTTTTTAGTGAATTTAAGTTGTAGGCTACTTGAAAAAACCGCGATAAAGTGGGGCCGCAAAATTCGAAGCGCGGAATGGCGAGGGGCGACTGTAGACCTACAGGTACCGGTATATATATATATTTTTGGATGGTGGGGGAATTGCGTTAACTGAATAGTTTAGATGGGAGAAGACGCATGTTTTGACAGCACTGCCTCACTAGCAAACGGTGAATTTTAAGTAGTATATTCTAAATAAAAATTATATAATATAATCATACACATTTTTACAACCATACGAATTTCGATTCTTGAATAATAACAACATTTGATAATTGGATTTGATGAAAGATGTGGAG